CCCCCCCTGTCTGTCACCAATTGCTTCTGCCCATTTAGTAGGGGTCCTATTCCACCCTGGGCCTTCTTTTTACTCCCTATATATCTAAAAAACAATTTTTTGTTATCCTTTACTTGGGATGCCATCCTCAGCTCCATGGTAGCTTTGGCCCATCTAACTGCCCCCCTACAAGTGCGAGCAGAGGAGGTATACTCTTCTTTGGTAATCTCTCCCCGTATCCACTTTTTATATGCTCCCCTTTTAGTCCGCAGGCTGCCCTGGATTTCTCTGGTCAGCCAAGGAAGCCTCCTGGCCCCTTTCCCTCTTTTTCCTCGCATCGGGATCGTCTCCCTCTGTGCCCGAAGGATCGTTTCCTTAAGGCACAGCCACCCTTCCTGGGCTCCCATCTCTTCAAAACTCCTACTCTGCAGTGCGTCCTTGACTAGTCGCCTGAGTTCATTGAAATCAGCTTTCCTAAAGTCTAGCACTTTCACCCTACTAGTTACCTTACCCACTCGACGTCTTATGGTGAAATCTCGACGTCTTATGGTGAATTGATTCAGACCTTTTCATTGGTCCCCTGATTTGATTCAGAGATTCAGCCACCGAATCTCCTCCAAATCGAATCACCACACAAAGCTTTGCACAGCCCTAATACCTACACATGTCATGCATGCTTTACATCCATATGCTGATGCTTGCATGCATGCCTACATGCAAAGATATATACCTCACATGTCTTTGAATATGTGTGCAGGGTCACAGTACATGGATTAATGGATCACACATATGCTGAAAGTAATAACACTTGGATGCCAATAAGAAAAATGTTTGAGCAAATTCCAACTAATTTTCTAAATTACTTTGTCATTAGCAGATTTATTATTTCCCCAGTAATGTTTGTACACAAAGTGAGTCAAACAAGCCCTGAGGGATCGGGGTGACTGACATGCTGTGCTCCTTTCAGATTGGGAAGGGGTCATCTGTAGCATATATTGTTCTTTCTACTCTCCTGCTTCTCCGAGTCCATGATTCTTTTTTGCCTTTGGTCTGTTAATATCAACAAAACCTGCCAGAGTACCTCATCACCAGAGCACCGCCATAGCAAATGCAACATACTTGAAGCATGCAGTCAGCTTTTCCAGCCAGGCCATGCTGCCTGAGTAAACCGTCTAAGTACTAGAAGAAACCACTTTATAAACTCAGAATGGAGAGGAAATGATTGATGATCCCACACTGGACATGACAGAGGTTCCACACTTCCCCCAATATTTATAATATTTGTGCATTGCCCTTACCTCAAGTTTGACAGGACTATTCCCATTCACTTAACGATATGAATTTGGCATAGCCTGACATAAACTTTACTGCATTGGGCCACCAAGAGAGAAAGTCATTGTTGTAAACTTTCTCTCCCCACCCCCTCATCACCCACCCTCTTTTTTTTTCCCTTCAGTCCTATTATTTCTTTACAAGCTAACAAGAACAGAACCAAATGTTTCACATCTGCTCTCACCGTTCGACCATTTGCATAAGAATTGTCGGTCAGTGTTTCAATGATGCACAGCTCACTGGCTGAGAATGGGGGCTGGAGGCAGCTACCAGAGACCCCTCTTGCTCCTGCCAGATGTCCTGGGTTAGGACACAAAAGAGACACACCCATAACTTTAACAAATCACCTTCTTTTGGGTATTAATCACTCAAGAGATGGAAGTTTTTTTAGGTACTGGATAGTATCAGAGAACTGATCCCCAACCTCAGGTCAAACCTTTTTAACCTCAGCATTTAAGAGCTTTATTGAAGGCATTCTTACCTTCTTGCATCGGATTCTCAGAGCAAAGGCATTGTACTGGTGAGTTTTAAGGCAGAAAGACTGGTCTTTTGTTGACATCAATAATGGTAATTTTGATAGCAGATCATCTTGTCATCACTTGGAAAATAATAGATTTACAAAATCCCCCACAGCCCAGAATCTGCCTAAATAAGAAAAAGAAATAATAAAATATAAATCCCTCCTCCATAAATATTTTCTTCCCCAGCTTGCCAAAAATATCTTCTTCCAAATCTGCCCCTCTCTAAAATGCAGCCGCTTGTTTGTGGAAGGATGTATGGAAGCGTGCTTCAGCTCTCCCCTTTAATTCAGTGCCAATGGCTCAGACTTTTGAGTGTACATAGCTCTGACCAGACGTTTGGGCTGAGTGTTTTTGGAAGATGTTTGTTCTTTTTCCACCATGGCGAGTCATTATGAGCTGTTATTTGACTGGCATAGCAGTGGATGAAAGGGCTGGGGTCCACTCAAGCTGGTAAACCTGCTTTGAAAACTGTAACTGGGACAATAATATTTGAAGCTATATTACTGCATTTACAGTGCTTAAAACGATGTGACGAGCTAGCTGGCAGTGACTTAGCGCAGGGGTTTTGAAAGGGCAAAAGATGATTGGAGGACTTGGGATTCCCTTTCCTCACGAATCTGGTAATGATTTGGCCCAGGGGTTTTGAAGGGGCAAAAGATGATTGGAGGACTTGGGATTCCCTTTCCTCACCAATCAGGCCCCAGAGACTCACCTCCCTGTCCCCTGATTGGCCCCTTGGGTCACCTGGAGGGGGATAAAAGGGGCAGCGCGGCTGACTCAGGGAAGAGACCAGTGAGGGACCACAAGGAAGGAGCTTCAAAGAGCTGGGCCAGCAGGGCGGGAGCAGTTGCCCCAGAAGAGCCTGAAGGAGTGGGACCTGCAGGCAGCAGTGGGCCCCTCAGCAGCGCGAGGTGCGGCCAGCAGGAGAGGCTCCCCGCTGGGCTCCAGGATCGCCTATGAGAGGCTGCGGCCAGCAGGAGAGGCTCCCCAGCTCCAGCAAGGATCTGAGCAGTGAACTGAGATGTTCCCAGCTCTGCTTCTAGCTCCTCCAGTAAGAGACCAGGCAGCTCGACATGAGGCCAGGTCTCCAGGAAGGTCAAGACCCCTTGCAGCCTGGAGCAGTACCAGCACTGGTGGCTGTGTGGTAGCGTTTCTGCTTACCATGTGGGAGATTTGCATTCAAGTCCTGACTTGGGGTGAGTGAGCTAACAGGGAGAAATTCTTCTTGCAGTGGAAAGGGGCCATTATGTTTTCCCCCTTTCTCCCCCTCCCGGTACCTAGGCCCTATATTCCTTGTCCTTTGACATTTTGTATTTTGTGCCTTTATATTTCACCAACCAGTGTTGTTTGCTCTGCTGTTTGTGTTTTACACTTCGGTTAAACCTGTCTTTTGTCAACTGGATGAATATGTCTATGATTGTGTCTAACTTTTGTTAAATCCTGCCCCCTCAGGGCACTGTAGTGTCCCCTATACTCCATGGTTTATACTGGTTATGTTCCCAGTATTGTTCTCTCATTAAAAGGTATATGGTTAAGTCGCCATTGGTGGTCTGGCTCTGCTCTATAGGGGGAGGAGAGTCCCTATAACTCCCACAGGGCTTGTGCACCTGCTTTGATCCCTTCAATTGGAGAGGGGGTACCTCTTGGAGTACCGCCCGGGTTACAACACTAACATATTCCAGCCATAGAAATGCTTAAGGAGGATGCATGGCCCTGTATAGACCTGCAGGTCCTATCAGGCTATCTACTCTCAGTCTGAATCTTAAGCAGCAATACCATTTGTGAATGGCCAGGTCAAAGGCCAGTCAGACATTTCTGGCAGTGTACAGTTGCATATAAGATCTCTAGTTTAATTCCTGACTGAACTGGGCTGACCCAGCACTCCCAAAACCCATTTTAGCATTGGTGGTTCACAGGCAAGGCTATGCTTTTCGTAACACACCCTGGCCCCAGAAACTGTTTTGTCATTCGATGGTGGCTTGCTGTTGTGAGTTCTGCTGCAAAACTCGCATGTTCTTCAGACTTTAGGGTAGAGCACCATAGTTTATTAATCAGGAGGGAATTCTCCGCATAGCAAATTATTGGGAGTCAGCCCCCAGGGCTCTGCATTCAGGGTTTCATGCATCTGTCTTGTAAAACTGCTCCTCTCTTGGTGGTAATGTTAGAAATAGACATTGCCAAATGAAGTGGATCAGATGTGCTGGGGTATATCAAGGGGACTCTATCCTGGTATAGGTCATCCGTTTCATTGGGAAAAACAAATGTCATCCATTGTCCCACCCATTGATGCTGTGGGACAATGGTTGATGTCTTCCTGGGTAGAATCAGGCTTCTCAAGTCTTAGGAGTGCCTGCCAGTCTTTTCCCGCTTACTGAGATATGCCCCTGGCATCTCTGGGGTGCAACTGAGGAAGTAAGGAAAGTAGGCAGGTGCTCCCAGGACTTGAGGAGCCAAATTCTGGATGGATATCCCCAGGGTGCACAGAATCAGGCCTTTCATGCCCCTGAGCCCCTACATGGAGCAGCTGGAGAACAAGGGCAGCTCTGAGCTGTCCACACTATCCCATTATAAATAAAATAGACTTCCACCACAATAAAGCAGCACAAACTATTATTACTTTCTGTAATGACCACAAATTTGGGCATTTGTGAGGAGACCACAAGTATGGGCACTCTTAGCTTTCACTTTGTGCTGCCATAATTTTTTTTATGGTAGCTCAAAGGCAAGGAAAGGTGACATTTGTTTTCACATTAAGCTCTATCTCAGTAGCCCTCTGTTTCCCATGCCAGAATCCCAGCTAGCAAGACCCACCTCTTTCTGAGTAATACAGGAAAGTCAGGATGGTCACAACCTCCTGGTTAGGAAACCCTCCTCTGTCCTTTCCAAGCATTTAGCTATGCTGTGTTATCACAGCCCAGTGCTTTGGATTACTCCCAGGTGTTAAGGCAATAAAGAGTGTGTGCATATTTACCTCCTTTCAGCCAAGCATCTCCAATACCTTTGCAAATGTCACAATGTCCCTGTGAGGAAGGAACATATTATTAGCTTCATTTGAGAGATGACTAGTCTGAAGCACATTTAACTTAAATATTGGACCCAAAGACATTCGAAGTCAGTGAGAAGCTTTCTATTGACTAGAACCTAGAGAGGGCATCTCAGAATCCTGGTGATCCTCAGCTTCATTTCTAACCATTATATATCTTTTCCTCAAGATCCAATTGAAATGGATTGGATGTTGTATTGCTCTTGCATTAGCTTTGGGGTGGAGGGAGGCATCAATATGGAAAAAAGGTGGGTTAAGGTCTCCATGAATCTACAACGTTTTGCTGGAAGCACTCCAGTTCTGCTAACAACATAGTGAGTGTCTTCACACTAATGGCCCCTCTATGTCGAGAATGAAGGATTTTCAATGATATATTTTATTGGACAAACTGTATAGTTGGAAGAGCTATTGAACAAGCTTTGGGCATCAGGTGCCCTTCCTGAAGTCTCTGGTTATAAGAAGTAATTCCTCCTCCCCTCTGCAGAAGAGCCAGTCATTCAGTGGGGTAGCCTCTCATTTCCTATTTGGAAGATCCATGTTCATGAGCAGGGAGTTGCCAGATGAGTACTCTGGCCAGCAGGCTGGTTACTGTTCTGTTTCTCATACTTTCTCTCTGTGTCTGCCATGAAACATTTCAACAGGTCTCATTCTAAAATTGAATGAAAGCAGATATCAGATCCTCAGCACTGTTTGCAAAAGGAATTTTGTACCTGCAAATTTAAGACATTTCATGTTAGAATTTTAAAACTGACTATGGGATCTCAATGCCATTGCATGTATAGTTTCCCTAGGCAAGGGATTCTTAATCTCTGTGTAGAAGGATCTTACTTGAGCTGGAACCCCTTTCACATTTATTAGCGGAGATGAATAGGATGATCCCAACCCCTGAAACCTGTTAGCAACCCCCTTGGGACTCATGACGCCAGGTTCAGAAGTCCTGCCCTATGTAGTTTTGGAAATGTCAGGATTAAATCAAGACACCACTAAGGTTCTAACTGTGTGTTAATCAAATTCTTAAACTATCTATCATAGCTTGCATTATTTTACCTGCAAGTAACTGCTAGCAGAAGAAGTCACCAGCATGGATTTCAGGTGCAACAGAAGACCCAGGTAAAGCCAGATCAGTAATCAGGTATAATGATGCAAATTATCAGACCATCACTGTTATTTGAATGAACATCAGTTGCATGTGTCCAATAGACTAGAGATTGGCTTATATGTGTGTGTGTGTGTGTGTATTAGCCAATTGCTCATCAGGAATGGCAGGGTGGATGGGGAGGGGGAGCATGCGGGGATGGAGCCCCATGCTCCCCCCGTGTCTGGGCCCACTCCCCCTTTACCTCCTGCTGCTTGGTGTCTGGGCCCACTCCCCCCTCCCCACCGCAGTGACAAGGGGAGGGGAGGGGAGGAGTGGGCCTGGGCCCGACGTGTGGGAGGACTGGGCCCGAGGGTGGGGAGAAGCTAGCCTGCTGCGGTGGGAGGAGCAGCGGGCCCAGGCTGAGCCAGAGGCGGTGGGGGAACGGGAGGAGCTGGCTGGGAGCCAAGGGGGGTGGGAGGGGTGGAGGAGGACTGGGCCTGAG